GAAGTAGGATTGCCCAACCTTCCTTCCGAGGAGTGGCTGGTGGGTTTGAACCGCCAGCCTTCTGGTTAGCAGGCAAGTGACTTAGCCACTATGCTACCAGAGCTCCCTTGTTTTACTTAGTAATAGGTATTTATATCCACGGCAGATAACTTTCCCTACTGGAGAGAGTAATGTTTTGGCTCTAATCTCACAAAGTTCTTTGATTTATTCCATTTTGTTTGTTTTAGGAAGACACATTGTGGCACGTGAAGCACTCAAGCTGGGTATTCTTGATGAAGTTGTAAACTCAGACCCAGTTGAAGAAGCAATCAAATTTGTCCAGAGAGTTTCAGGTAAGAAGATAAGAGAAATAGCACAAGATTGGAAACAAACTAACTGTCCATCTTAATAAGGAATTGCTAAGTATCCTATGGTACATCCATACAATGGAATACAATATGTCTTAAAAATGATTGAGGAACTCTTTAGGTACAGATATGGTATGATCTCCAAAATATATTACTTAGTGAAAAAAAAAATCCTTGTTTATAGTGGTTTATCATTTGTGTAACAAAAAGAGGGGGTAGGGGAGGATGTATATAGGGAGAATGTATATATGTACCTGTTTGTGTGTACATAAAGATATTTGGAAAGTTTCATGAGAAATGATTAATGCTTGCCTCTGGAGATGGGGATAGGCAGTGAAGGGAAGCAGTTGAAGGAGACATTTCATTGTTTACTCTTTTGTACCTTTTCAGTTTTTAGCACGTGAATTTATTTCTCATTGAGAAATATAATTAAAGTTAAAACAAGCAAATAGAATGTCTCAGCAAAAAGAAGACAGGCTCTAAAATTCACCATGGTAAAGCCAAAGAGTTTCTGTCTCAGCAAACAAAGTTACTCCTCTCTCATTGATTCCTTCTTTCTAGACTTGTGACGTTTCTTTAAGGGTTATTTGAATGGCACTCTCTCTCTCTTTTTTTTTTTTTAAAAAAAACTATTCCTTTTAGTCTGTGGAAGAAGGCAGCTTTAAATGAGCAAGATGGAGAAGGTTAAGAATTGTCAAAAGAGATAATTGGGAGGAGTGTTGAGCTGTTGGCCTCTCTATCAATTTACACCTGTGGCTTTAGTTTGTTTAAAAACCCCAATTTCAAGAAGCTCTTTTTCTTAATTGATTTCCCTAGTTTCAGATTTGAGAGTTAAGTTGCTTTAAGAAATGGATGAGGGTCATGATCTGGTACAATTATAGTAGGAAATGGTCTGTTCACTCCAACAGCATTACACAGTTTTTCCACTTGGTGGCATCCCAGTATTGAAAAATCACCTACTTTAAAACTTGGTAATCCCCCTGGTAACAGCAGGAGAACAGAGGGTTTTCATCTCTATGGACATTTATGTAACTGCTTAAAACTATAATCATGAGGATTATATAGAAATATGTAAAAATGTGATATAAAGTGTTTAAAATATAAAATTTCATATATTGTTGTTGCTACATGGGATATGTGTGAGTACAGAGAAAATGAAGAAAATAAGCAAAAATTTCCCCAAAATTTCTTTTTTTTTTCTTCAAATTGTGTTTTGGATGAAAGTTTGCAGAGCAAATTCACTTTCCATACAGCAGTTCACACACTTGTCTCATGACATTGACAGTTTACCCTAATGCAACAGCTTCCCTCCCACTTCCTCCTGATAGTTACCTCTTCCCTGTGTCCATTCCTCCATGCACTCCTGCCCCCTAACTGTCTCCCTGTGCATAAACAGCCCTTCTTTCTCCCATGATTGTTCTCTCCAAGAGATGTATCTATCTCAGGTACATGTTCAACCCATATGCCCTGTCTTTTGTTTGGCTGGAAGCCACAGGTGTGGGTGCAATTCCAGACCTGAAGGGCAGCTAGGGGCCATAGTCTCAGTGGTTCCACCAGGCTCTATCGGACCAGCAAACCTGGTCTACTTTTTTTTT